AAGGAATAGTAGAATCTTGACCCATTCTGTCCACGAAAAGAGGTCACTCAAAAATACTCCCTCCCCACCCCTAGGTCTGGCCCTTGCAGTGACAGCTAAACTTCCGCCAACAGCCTGATTCCTCAGTAGACATCCTATAATTAAAATTTGATTCAGCACTCATGTAAATATTATTTCTCACACAACTGTCATCTCCTATCATTCTTGAGCTAACCTCAACAATTTTCCCATTCCACTTCCACTTTCAAAGAATAATAAAATCCTCCTAGAAATCTCATTCTTAATTAATATGCTGTTTTCTTTTCCTCCCACTCTAGTAGCACAGATCCTGCTCTAACAGAAGGAAAGGGGATCTGAAGTCCCCTCGCAAACACAGAGCGGTGATCCTAAGCCACTACAGTCCTATTTCTCTCTGTTCCACTTATCAAAAAATCTTATAACAATATTTATACATCCTCTAAGAAGCCACATTACTGTTAAGCCTTGAATTCAACAGACCTTAAAAACAAGAGGAGAAGATGGTCAACGAGTCACAGCTTACTGTTGAAAATGCTATATATCTCATGCATCATTCCCCACCCCCACGGCTCTTCTGTGCCTCATTCAATACCCTACAGGGACCCTTGAAGAACACAGTCGGTGCTTTCAGCAATAACTGACATCCCTGTAAATCCATGCAATGTTCAGAAAATAAATCCAGTGCTCTCTGCTGCCCATACAGCAACATTAATCTTATGAACAGTACTATAGAACACTCTCCCCGCTTCCTCCCCTCCCCTCCCCTCTCTCCATCTGCTTTAAGTAGGGCAAGTATTTTACTCATGTTAATTGTTCTGACAGATGAGGATCAACACTGCTTTAATCCATTTGCAGCCTAGCACTGGGTACATTCGTCTTCTCAAATGCTGTTAGAGGCAAGTACACTGGCTGTTAGTAACATGAGAGCTACTTCAGGGCAGTGCTCAGTACTCTTAAGTGACTCACTCTACATTCCTTATCAAGGGAATGCAGGGGAAATTCTTCCCCAAACTCATTCAAAGTTTTCTGGTTGCTACTATGGTTGTGTTTTGATCCTTTAAAAACAATATATAGTTGGATTTTATTAAATTAAGACTAAAGTGAATCGATTGCTATTGATTTCTTTTAAAACGTTAAGTGTCTTCTCATTTACCAATTAATCATACACAAGTTCTCTAAAAGGCAAGAGGATGCAGCCAAATTCAGCAGAATTTTGCTATAAAATTCGACAACCTGATTAGGAACCGTGTGCATTCTGCAAGATACGCCACCTATTTGTAACTCACAGTGGGAAGCGTTAGAGCTCAGGCCTGTCAGTGTTGACAAGAGCATGGGCCTTAGATACAGGCACCCCTGGATTGAAACCCCAGCTCCACCGTTTTTCACCTCCACACCAGCTGCCATGGATACTGCGAGGATCACATGATTTAGCACTTTTAACACACTCAGCCCTATACTGTCCCTAGCTGAGGGTGTGTTCACTCAAGCTACTGATATGCATACCTAAGTGTTGGTTCTGAACTAGCTGAAAAAGTAGCTTCGGATGACATGCTAAGTATTTCCTAGACATTTCTACTCCCATCAGAAGTGTAGTCAAAGAGGACTCCTATACAGAATGAATACAGTGGCCTGACACCCTCCTCCTCCAATGCTAGGACAGATGAAGCTTGTCACCCTGTCCCCCCTGAGCAGTATGTCTTCACTAGTGTCTGGACTCCACTGGTCCATCTCCACTGATTATCGCCCACATGGTTTTGAATTTGCCATTTTCTCTTTCCTAATGCCTCTGTCTATAGGTCTTATTTCTATTTCAGCTCCATCCTCTGTCTCCCATGCTTTCAACTTAATAACCTTATACATTTCAAATTTTCAGGACAGTGCTTCCAGCTCAGAAATCTAATGAAGAAAAATAAATATGGTATGACTCAGATTTATGGAATACATTGCATGGGGAACGCTCTTGCAAAACTCACTTGTTTCTCCCTCTCAGGCAGGATCAATGATTTCCTCTTTCTTTCCGCTCACCCCTCTATTTTCAGATCTGTTCAAGCTACAATGGTGAGATAAGAACAGACAGACAGAATATTCTTCTAGTTTGTAGGCTCTGTCTTCTTCACCTTCCAAGTAAGGGGTGGCCCACGGTCAGCTGCTTAACAAAAATTTCCATTACAGACACAAGAAATGCTTATGCCAGCTCTTTTTGCCCAAAATGAATATATATTTGCACATATGTTAGGATCTCAACAGTGTAAAAAAGATCAATTTTTTTTGTCTATACAATAGGAAATATTAAAATGTTCATGGTAAGTATATCTGGACACAAGATTTTAGGTAATTTCAGTTTTAGTATTTTTCTGACTTCTTATATTTTACATGATGGGTATGAATTACTTTCCTATTCAGAAAAAAAGTATAAGTATGTAAAGTCATTTATGCCTTGCCTATCCCCATTCAGCACCCTGCTTTGCAAGCTATCACTAACCCTGTTTATAATTTAATCTAAAATGATCCCAAGTAGCCACCTCTAATCTTGAAGAGCCAAAGGTTCGACTTGTGAAACTGTTTAAATTAATGTAGCAGTGCCCTAAACTCATACATGCATTCTTCCAAGCTTTAAGTTTTATATTGAGACTAATCAATGTCTACAAGAACTGATGGCATACATTAAAGACAACTTAGTTTAAACCACCAGAAACAGAGAGCTGCCCAATTTACACAATTCCTAAAGAGGGATTTTGACAGAAGCTTTGATTCCTGGTTCTGCTAACAGAATATGTCCAGATGCGCACAGGCCTCTTTAAGACCGTACTGGGCAAATTTTACACTAGCACTATCTGTTAGAATACCATGACCAGCCTTGAAATGCCCTGATTAGAATTTAGAAATGGACTCTGGTGAGCTACACTTTCACTGGGACTCTAAGGAGTTTAGCTTGGCTGTTCTGTTGTTTATAATCATTGAAGTCAATAGTTAAGAAAATAAAACATGCATAAACTCCAAAGACTAAGCTGACAACATTCAACAAAAATATCTTGCATCTGTAACTATAAAATGGAATGTAAATGAGAAAGAATGCACTGTGGACTTAGCTATATTCTGACTGTGCATTGCCAGCCGAACAGTGGAGTCAAATCTGGCTTTGACTCCACTCAAGGAGCCTCAGTTTACTCAGCTACAGAATGGGGTAACTAGCCCCCAAGAGGATGCAGTGAGAGGACATGTACAAATGAATGGAAATAGTAACAGTTGACAAATGGGAGGTGTTGGGCTGACAGTTTTAACCACAAAACACAAACCTCAAACCAAAATGAAGATCATCCACCTGGATAGTTCCCTTCTTCACACGTAAAAGTCATAGTTCCAAAACTAAAATTGCATTAAAAAAAAAAAAAGACAATGAACCGAGCTCCCGGGCATCGCGATGAAGGGGGAGGAGTCTCGTTACCTGGAACTGCAGCCCCACCATAAATTCTGAGCCCTGCCTCAGCCCGGGCCTTGCAGCAGTCTCCACGTGGACCTGGCGCTCTCCATGGGACAGCGTTGCTGTCAGCTGCGGCTCATTGGCCCCATCACTTGTTTCCTAACAACCCCGCCAGAGGCCCTGCTGCAGTTACAAGGTAGAGACGCACTCTATTCCGTGTCAGCTCATCGGATTCCTCTAGAAACGTCCTCATGTGTTTATCTAAGTTAACAGCCACAGTGCTCTTCTTCACTGGGCTTAGTCCTTACCTGTCAATTTAGTTTCTACTTACGGGAGCACCCCCTGCCCGCAAATGAAATGCTTTTAAGGAGGTTTTTATAGGAGAGAAGGGATTCAACTGCCTTATACACATGATACAGAATTTCTTCATTCAGCTAGCATTCACTGGATGGCTTATGTGAAAGCGCTCTTTAGCCGTCCATAGCTTCACATCTGTTCTTCCATTACAGCACTCAAGCCAGACCCCGTGTTATGGGGCGGTTCATTGGGCACACCTCCCTTTTGCTAACTAGAAGGTAAGTGATTCATTCAATATACATATACTGGGAACTTTCTGGGCACCAGGCATTCTGTTAGGTATGGAAGTAAAAGACTGATAAGATGCTTCTCCAAGCTCTCACCTACCTGTAGGTAAGAACTCAGAAAGCTACATGGAAACACATGAGAATGATAAAGCACTTGATACCTCCTTTCACCATACAACATACACCACAGTGAGCTTTGCGTTTACATGGCAGTCTCCATACCTGACAGTAAGCTCCTAGACTGACCTATTTCAGCTCCTATCACAATGCCTGGCATACAGTTGGCACTCGTTGTGTGTTTATCCAACGAGGACTTGACAGTCTAGATAAGAGAAAGGTATATACTCAATAACCATGGAGCTCCTGTCATAGGAGGCTTGTGATAAGGGCCATGGTTCAAGTCCCAATAATGTGCCACAGACAGCACAGGAGAGCTCCACGCAGTTCCCACTTGAGGTGATTTAGGAAGATTTTATTGGAGAGTGGGCATTTGGAGTAAGCCTGGAAGTAGAATTTCAACAGGTAGAAAGAGTGAGAGAAGGGGGGAAGGTGTCTAGGTGGGCAGAACAGCTTAAATGAAGGCATCTTAAGATTTATATTGGCTACATAGCTGCCAGTAGATAGGCCTTATGAGGTTGGGGCTCTGGATCTCTCAGTGGCCCCATCTGCTCCTCATTGTTACTGAGGTAAAAGGCTAGAGGCTGCTCTAGTGGCCAAAATGCAGGTCCCTTACACTCCTGAGAGACAGGCTCTCATTCAAACTGCAGAAAGGTTTGGAAGTTTAAGCTGTGTATGTGTGTGTGAAAGAGAGAGGGAGGGGGAGGGAGGGGGAAGAGAGAAATTGAAAGATTTTTCTTTCATAGTTTCTCGAAATTTCCATGTTTTCAATATATGATTCTTTTCGAATTTATCTTTTATTCTTTTGGGTAACAGGTTGGAGAAAACCTGTAAAACTACTCTTAAAAGCATTCTTCCGTGCTAGCTTCAGCAGACATATATTGAAATTGGAACGACATAGAGAAGAGTAGCATAGCCCCTGGGCAAGGTTGATGTGCAAATTTGTGAAGGATTTCATATGTTTTTTTTAGATTTATTTTTTTCTTATTCTCCCCAAAGCCTCCCAGTACATTGTTAGTTGTGGGTCCTCCTAGTTGTGGCATGTGGGACGCCGCCTCAGCATGGCCTGATGATGCTGAGGTGCCATGTCCGCGCCCAGGACCTGAACCAGGGAAACCCTGGGCTGCGGAAGAGGAGCGCGCGAACTTAACCACTCGGCCATGGGGTGGCCTGCATTCCATATGTTTAATAGAGAAAGATCTTTGAGACAATACCTGGCAATGCCTAGATATAAATAAGTTCAAATCTTCATCTATATCACATACCACTTTTTTATAATTAGCATATCACTAGTGGTTCTGAATTATTATTTGTGTAAGTATTTTTTATTTAAAAGGTAAAAATGCAGTCACTAGCAGAACACAGGCTGTCCGTGCTGTGTCCAGGGTGTGCTATGCACCAGGTGGCTCTGCGGAAGCCAGCATTCCATGGATTTGGGGGATCCGCCGAGACTCAGCGCAGTTTAGGGCTTCAGCTGGACCTTGAAGACGCTGTCCAGGAGATCCTTGACATTTCTGGGAGGTAAGTCTCCAGATCATGTAAGTGTCTGATCACAAACCACTCTGAAAATTCTAACACATTGACAGAACAGCAGCAAGAGTAAGTCAAAATAAGGTATAATCTGTGTCATGAGTTATCATTTGTGCTTTGATTTAAAACAGCCTCATCAACAAATTACTGCAAGTGACCAAAATTTGATTTCCAGGTTGTTTTAAATTTTATAATGGAAGAAAAAGTTTAATTTTTAAAAAAGCATCAAATGTTTCATTTTATTAAAAAGGGCAAAATATATGAAGATAAACTCTCACTTTACATTTGTGTAAAATACACCTTCCAGATAAATGTTTTTAAGAAGGAAAAAAAAACCCAAAACAAAAAAAAAATTCTTTCCTTTCTACCCCAGAAGAAAGAAGAATGTACAATTGGTGTTATGGCCCCTGATTAAAACATCATGATCGTACAGTCAGCAACCTCCCTCCCTGCAGATATCTCCCTCCCTAGATAGAGGCCAGCTCCAGATAAGGGTTTCCGGCTCCAAATAAGCCTGGAGGCGGACACTGCATCAGCTGCCCCAAATGACAAACCAACCTCAGCTTCATTAACAGGAATATTGTATTCAGCACAGAGAAGGGCTGGAGTCTAATAACACCCAGAGCTACTGTGACACCTGGAGAAGTGTGCAGACGCAAAAGCCCCCTCCTAAAAGCACCACGGGGAAACTGGACCAGCCAGAGGGATGTGAACGATCTGGACACCATGACTAGTGAGGAAGGATCGTCAAAATTCTGATGTTCTGTCAGAAAAAGACTTGGGGAGAAGGGAGGGAAGAGGGTAAAGACTACCATTATTTATCTCCTTCCACAGGCCTGCCACTCTGCTCCCTCCTTTGTTCCTCCTCCCTGCCCTCCTCGGATCTTCACAATTCCCAATTCTATTTATCACTTGTGCAAACTGAAGCCCGTGGAAGTTAGAGCAACTATCCAAAGTCACAAAGCTGCTAAGTAGAATCAATGACGCCAAAACCCATCTCCACTCCCTCCAAAGCTCATTAGAGGAGACAGCTGGCCTTTAATTTTTAGTGATCTTCCAAAGAACTGTCATCTCAAGGTGAGAGTTGGCTCTTATAAGATTGTTTTCCCAATTATTAGCACCGTGTATTTGTTGAGATGAATTTGGATAATATCAATAGTTTAGCAGAATACGATAGCATAATTCAGGTCCTTAACCCAAAGCGTTGTTTCTATAGATAGTCTAAAAAAGTTCCAACATCAGCTTCTAATTCTCTGCCACTCACCCTCCCACTAACTCAACTGATTTTCCTTAACTACCAGGCATAAGAATTTTTTGTTTGGACTGGTTAGAAAGATGTTGGAAGAAAAATTAGACCAACTTGTAAAACTTTATTGTGCTGAGCTGTTGAACAGCACACGGCTTTCCTTTATCATGCTTCAGTTTCTATAGTCCCACAGGAACACAGGTCAACCAGGCTTACTTTTATTAGAAATACCAGAAGAAGAAAGGGACAGGTATAAGTCAAATGAACAAGGCTGACACTGCAGAACACAATTTTTGGGTAAAATCTTTATATTCCACTGACAGATGGAGGTGTACGTGACAGCTGATAACTTCAAGTTCACATCTCCAATTCTAGAATTATGTTCTGAAATAGGCAATCTTAACTTGATCTAAAGGATTCACTGACACACACTGCACTGAGAGAAAGACAGACAAAGTTACTCTGAGAACCTCTGTCCCCAAAAACCAAATCTCATTTCTTCTACCTTTTTTTTTTGAACATGTATTTTTTTTAAAGATCTTATTTTTTTTCCCCCTTTTTCTCCCCAAAGCCCCCTGGTACATAGTTGTGTATTTTTAGTTGTGAGTCCTTCCAGTTGTGGCATGTGGGATGCTGCCTCAGCATGGCCTGATGAGCAGTGCCGTGTCCTCGCCCAGGATCCGAACCCTGCGCTGTTGTAGCAGAGCGCACGAATTTAACCACTCAGCCACAGGGCCAGCCCCTCATTTCTTCCACCTTTTAACTGAAAGGGCTAAGAGAGAAGGACTGCAAAGGCCCTGGGGCACCTGTGGGAGATGTTATGCTCATGGACAACCACACCTACTACATTAATACTGGTCTAAAAACATGGAATAAATGTTAGGCCACAGAAGGCTATTAGCCATTCCATGCGTAACCAGGCTTTCCACAATGGTTGAAACTTCACCTTTATGAGAGGAGACTGGGCATAAGGGGTTGAATTCATCCAAGTTTGGATCTTGACTAAATTGTCTCCAAGATGAGTTGCAAATCTCCAGGCAATCAGAGGAGAGGAGACGGGGAGTTAGAGTGGCTGTATGAACGAGGGTAGAGTTACTCCATGCAGTCACATCTTACTCAACAAGAAGGAAGTTCTTGGAGGAACAACTCCTCTACAGACCTGAAAACTGTGAGGAATAATAAATAGCTCTGGCCAGCAAAGGAGACATCGATGTCCACCCTGGGCTACATACTTGACTCATAAGAAGGGACCACATGCAGAGACCGTGTATCCTTTTTGAAATTCTAAAAATCCTGGTTACATGATTCTAAAATTCCTGGACACATGATTTCCCAATCATAGGAGTCTAGAAGCAGCAAATTAAAAGGCTAGAGGCCGCTACACAGATAACAGCAGGAACTGACAACTGACAGAAAGGTAAGAAAGACAATTATTTTAAAAAGCAAACATATTTAAAAACTCAGCAGCAGTCTAGGACCACTGAGAGAGACAAACAGCTTTACAAACGTCAGTTGCTCTTGAGTCATTACCATTCCCAAGCATGCTACAATAATTTATTACAAGGGTAGAGAGAAATATGGCTCAGTAGCAGAACTTATAAAAGAGATTTAGGAATTCTAGTTCACACTAAGTTCATGGTGAATTAAGCGTGCCGTGGCTGCCAAGGGGCTCTGCAGTCTTAGGACACAGTAACAGAGGCTGTAGGGGGAGTGTGAAGGAGGAGGTAATTCTTCCTGACCCCACACTGATCAGATTAGTTCATTTCTGGACTCCTTGTTTTAAGGAAGAAGAGCAAATAAGGGTGCATTCAGCTGAGAGGCACTAAGACCTTGAGATTTCAAAGCGGATAATATGAGAAAGAGGTTTTTTTTAATTGGAGGAGGGGTGTGTGGGGGGATGCATAAACCCAATACATAGGATTAACTCAGAGCTGCTGCTGAAGAAGGGTCCCTAGGATTCCCAGGGGAGTACCCACAACTGGGCTGCAATTGACCCTTTCAGTGTTACTAGTGATCTGACCACATTGCACGATATCCTCAGCTCAGAGGCCCTACTTCTCAAACCAGGGGAACTCAGAGTGGAGGAGAGAGGGTGCGTGCCAGCAGGCACTTAAAGGCACAATCTTTGTGGCTGGGAGTGGTGGTGGTTTATAAACCGGCCATACAGACACACTGTGTTTGGTTTGCACATTCTCCCTCATTGGAGCCTGTTTTAAATAAGAATGGATCTAACATGAAAATATGTTTCTGGATTACTTTTAACAACCTGAACTCTGGCAGCCCAGGGCCTTCAGCAGGCATGGTGACAATGGCCTAGAAGTCAGGGCAGCTTCCCCGCTTGGCCACTGCCCTCCGTAATTAACATCACCTCCTTTTAAACAAAAACAAAAAAGCCTCCTAGCCCACAGCATTGATTGAACCCACCTGCCTGATATTTGAGTTTGCAAAGCCTGCCCTAGAGCGACACTTTACTTGATTTAAACATAACTCAAAATATTTTTATATTTAAAGACCAACACATACATATTAGAGAACAAAATAAAACACATGTGCACTCTTAAGAGAAAATCTCTTAGTCCTGAGATGTTGGAGAACTTTCAAGTGATGGACCCTTTCAAGGGTCACCGTGGGCTGGGCTCTGCTCCCTAAGGGGTGGCAGTTTCTAATCTTGCTTTGTTTGAGGGCAGTGGTTCTCGATCAGGGGCAATTTTGTTTCCAGGGAACATTTGGTAATGTCTGGAGACATTTTTGGTCTTTGCAATGAAGGAGGCGTGGCGAGTGCTTACCAGCATGTAATGGGTAGAGGCCAGGAATGCTGCCTTCAGTGCACAGAACCGCCCCCAAGACAAAGAAGCACCATCCAAAATCCTGAGGCTTTTGAGAAATCCTGCTTTAGGGGAAGGCCTGCGAAGTGCTGGCCTAGAGGATGTGGGATACTTTGAGGCTCCTCAACATTTGGCCCCAACCAACTACTCCAAATGCATCTAAACTCCTATCCCTTGTCATTTCGCCTCCCTTCCTCACTGTCTCATCACTACTAGTCTTCCTTCTACTCTCCACACACTCAAGTTGGCCACATCATCCCTGAAGGTATTAATGCCACACCCTCCTATCCCTAATCTTTCAAGGTTACTCTCAATATTACCTCCTCCTAGAAGCTGACCCCACGGTCTCCTTGCCAAAATTTG